GCCAGCCCTCCTTATGACATTTTCATACATGTATATAACATATTTGATCACATTTAGCCTTTGACACTCCTCTTATCCTCCTTTTCCCATTCACATCGCTGAGAGTGCCCCCCTTTTTTCCATGTCTGCTTTAAATCTCACAGAAAAAATACAGGATGTTAGTCTTTTTTTCTCTGTGTGGTATCTCCAGGTCTATCCGTTTTCCAGCCCCTGCCATGATTTTATTCTTCTTTATGGATGACTAAAGCTCAGTTGTGTAGGTATACCCCATCCTCTCTCTTTGTTAGTTGATAAGCTTGTAGGCTGTTCCACTACCTATTGGCATATAGGCTCTTTCATAACATACCTATATGTTTGCAGGCTGTTCCACAACCTACCTATAGTAATGTAGGTTGTTTCACAACCTGTTGTGTTGCACTGAGTGGGGGTGTGCGGTGTCTGTTTTATGCTGACTCTGATTCCTTCAGGTGTATACTTAGGCATGGTACAGCTGGGCTGTATGGTGGTTTTAATTTGGTCTTTTGAGGAGCCTCTGTGCCGATTCTTACAGTGGCTGGACTAAGTCACGTTCCCCAGCAGTGTATATGAATCCATTGCCACAAACACCTCCTTTCCTGTTCTCTTTTTGGTTTTTTGAGACAGGGTCTCACCATGTAGCTGGGCCTTGAACTCACAGTGACCCGTCACCCCTACCTCTGCCTCCCAAGGGCTGCATTTTTCTTTTTCTTCCTTAAAAAAAAACTGTAGCTTTTTGATTTTTGTGTATGTCTGTGTACCACATGTGTGTCTGGTTCCAATGGAGGCCAGAAGAGGGCATCAGATCCCCCGGAAGTGGAGTAACAGATGGCTGTGAGCTGCCACGTGGGTGTTGGAAACCGAATCCTGGTCCTCTGTAAGGGCAGTAAGTGCTGTTAACAGCTGAGCATCTCTCCAGCCCCTCCTCTTTTTTTTTTCTTGGTAGTTGGACTGAGGTGAGATAGACTCAGTGTAGCTACACTTTTTAAAAAACTGTATTTTATTTACTAATTGTTATTTGTGTGTGGTTGTTCGCTCCCACCACAGCATGTGTGTGGAGGCCGGAGGACCGTTTTGTGGAGTTGGTTCTGTCTTTCCACCATGTGGGTCCTGCAGATTGAACTCAGGTCATCAGAACCGCAGCAAGCGCCTTTACCCCTGAGCCATCTTGATTGCCCTCAATGCAGTTTTGTTCGTTATTTCCACAAGGGCTAACATTTTTGAACTTAAACAAAAACTCTGAAGTCAGCCCCTGAAAGCATGGGCTTCCTTGTGGCGTATTCAAACACGCTTAGTTTTGGTTGACTGGCCTCTCTCTTTCCTCCATCCAGGTTTATAGCATCCTTTCCTTTCCTCTTCCCATTTCACATCCATGCGTTCTGTTAACCCCTTCACCCCCCTCCTTCATGAGCTTTTCCCACGTGTTCATTGGCTTCATGCACTTTTTCATTTGAACAGTGTATTTTCAGGGTTGCGGTTGTGGGTAGCAGCAGCCTGGCACATGGAAGGCCCAGGAACTGATTGGCAGCACCACAAACAAATGTTCATCTGAAAAGTATCATTTGCTGGTTGGGTTATTTGCTTTTTAGTGTCTGAAGTTCCGACATTGTTGCGTGTTCTGGATATTGGTCTCCTGTCAGGCAGACAGCCGGCCAAGTGTTCTCTCCCATTCTGTCTGTCTCTTCTGTTCTGTCTGTCTCTCCTGTTTTTTTTTTTTTTTTCTTTTTGCTCCTCAGAAGCTTTTCAATCTGATGTAATCCCACTTTTCACTTCTCACTTCCCCCAGGCTCCTGGAGCCTTTCCAGCTGCCGCTCACACCTGGCTCTTGCAGTGTCTCTTGTAACTGTGTTTCCAGCTCTTACACCAAAGCCTTTGATCCGTTCTGAGTTGATTTTTTTGGGGGTGGGCACAGGATGACAGGTAGGTAAGGTTTAGTCTTTCAAAAGGAAAATATAAACAGAGAGGGGACACTCTTAGGAAAGCTTTGCAGTTTCTTTGAGACATCGAGGCAGCTCCCCAGTCTGTCCTGTTCTCTGTGGGGACAGCATCCAGCCTCAAGTCCTCAGTGCCTTGCCCAGTGGGATGACCTCCTGGAGGTCACACAGCTTTCATGGATCCCCAGGAGGGAACATAAAGTAGCTAGGGTTTGGGGGATGGAGACCTTCCTTATTCTGGTGAGCCAGGGGCCAGGACTGGTGTGAGTCTGACGCCATCTGGTGGCCCTAGAAAAAACTAGGTCATTTTGGGGACTCTTAGGAACTTACTCTTTCCTGGGTGCTTCCTGAATGCTATGACTGCACCCACGGAGGACATACATAGTCTTACTTTATTCTCAGGATAACCTCATGTGGCAGGTGTGACTATCTGAACCCTGAACATAAGAACATAAGTTTAGAAACTGTCACTGGGTCTCACTCTTGGACAAGGTGGACTTTGACTTGGGAATAAGTCTTCAAAGACTTGTAAACAACAATTGTCTCACTATTCTTCTTCTTTTTTTTTTTTTAATGCACAAACATGCAATGTTTTAATGTTGTAAATTCAAAAGACAAGGAGGAGCGTTTCACTCCATCACTACCCGACTGGCCAGAAGATCCAGTTCTTAGCTTCAGGCTTGTCATTCTGGACAGATTTAACCTACATTTAAGCGAGTATGTTGTCTCGGTTAGTTTTTGTTGATTTGACACAGCTAGGGTCGTCTGGGAAGAGGGAACCTCAACTGAGAAAATGTCCCCACCAGACTGGCCTTGAGCAAGCCCGTGGCACATTTTCTTGATTGATGACTGATGTGGGAGGCCCAGCTCACTGTGGGCGGTGCTACCCCTGGGCAGGGGGTTCCTGGTTATGTAAGGAATCGGGCAGAGCAAGCCAACAAGCAGTGTTCCTCCCTGGCCTCTGCTTCAGTTCCTGCCTTGAGTTCCTGCCCTGACTTCCCGCAGCAATGGAAATGTAATGGAGATTTGTAAGCCAAATAACATTTCCCTCCTTGAGTTGCTTTTGGCCATGGAGTTTATCTCAGCAACAGAAGGCTGTGATGTACGTGGACATATTTCTGCTTCTGCTTTTCTGAAATGTCTTTTTTACTCTGAAAGTAAATGGCTGTGTGAGACCCTAGTTCACGGACGCGCCTGTCAGTGGTGCAGCGCACGTTAAGTTGGTGAATTCTCACAGGCTGCTTAACCTCTCTGGAAGTGGACTCTGGGAGCGAGGAGGCCCCTTCCCCTTCCCCTCCAAAATTTCCACCCTGGGTCAGACTGGCCTCCTAACTGCCACAGGGAAGAAAGAAAATAGCAAATAGCTAAGGGCATTAGAGACACAGCGTCCTTGAGAACAGCTGGAAGGTGAGCCATATCTGTTTTTATTTTTTATCACATAATAAAATGATTGCTTGTGGTGGGGCTGGGAAATCCGACGCTCTCACAGGGAAAGGATGGACCCTCCACTCTGGGCTTTCTTGATCCAACTTCTAGCTGACTGGCTCAGCTTCCTCAGTTTCTGGTGGGCGATTGTAAACTTCCGATTGATGATGTCCGCTGCTCTCTGATGTTAACTCTCTCAAGGGATGCTCAGCAAGACTTTCCCCACCCACAGGAACACAGCGGGCTGCCTCAGTGTGCTTCCCCAGCTGATTTCTCTTGGGAATCCGTTCTGTGTGTCCCTTTGCTTGTTCTCAGTTGGTGATGCCGGTCCTCTCTGCTGGGTGTTCTGAGCACCCGATGGGTGGCGTTTTGCTATTATCTGCCATTTCTCTTTTCCACTGGATATTTATTCGATTTATTTTGCTTGCTATTTATTTAATAAACTCTTCCATTTTGAAATGAGAAGCTCAGCTATTGTAGATCACCCTCTGGACATACAGAACAAGTGGGTGGCTGGATGATGTTATTACAAATCTTTTGCCATTGTCCACAAGGCCTTGTTTAGGTGCTAAATGCATGTATACAAACATGTCAATAGGATAAAATTCCTTGCATAATAGACACACCATTAAATTACTTTGTTGGATATACTGGCCAGTCTTCCTTTCTTTCTCTCTCTCTTTCTTTCTTTCTTTCTTTCTTTCTTTCTTTCTTTCTTTCTTTCTTTCTTTCTTTCTTTCTTTCTTTCTTTTTCTTTCGTGCGCGCGCGCGTGTGCGTGCATGCACATGCTCAAGCATGCATTCCAAGCATGTCTGTCAACTTGAAACAGCTAGGGTCATCTAGGAAGAGGGAACCTCAATTGAGAAAATGCCCCCATCAGATTGACCTAGGCAAATCTGTAGGACATTTTTTTTTAACTTGATGATTGATGTGGAAAGGCCAGGCCACTATGGGTGGGGCCATCCCTGAGCTGGTGGTCCTGGGTTCTATAAGAAAGCAGGCTGAGTAAGCCATAAGGAGCAAGCCAGTACACAGTGTTCCTCCATGGCCTCTGCATCAGCTCCTGCCTCCAGGCTCCTCCCTGCGTTCCTGCCCCTACTTCCCTCAGTGATGGACTGTAAGCTGTGGGGTGAAATAAGCCCTTTGCTCTGCAAGTAACTTTGGCCGTGGTGTCCATCACAGCAACAGAACGCTGACTGAGGCAGCAGAGGTGGATTAATTCACACGTCTTTCCCCATGCGGTTTTCAGCACAGTGTATAACCATATCAATTTTTGTCAGTCATCTTCATCATTGTTGTTATATTATTATTATTATTATTATTATTATTATTATTATTATTATTTTGAGACCGGGGCTCACTCTGTAGCCCAGGTTGTCACTGCACCCATGGACCAGTAGTTCTGCCGGCCACTGTGTTCTATAAAATCCTATCCTGTCATTTTTCTGACCTGGCCCCCCAATGCTTCCGTATATTCTGTCCTTATATTTGCACGGTTTTATTCTTTTGAGAATTCTGTCTCCCTGTCTGTCCTTCTGTCTCAGTCTCCTCCTCCCTCCTCTCCTTGCTTGGCATAAAAGACACGGTACAATCTGTTTTCTGCTTTGTGATGAGCCCGCCACTGACTCCCTTTACACCACGTCCATGAAGCCGTCTACATCTTCCTTGTTCAGCACCCTCTGCTGCCAACATCAGCCACCCTGCAGGAAGGGAGACCCCTGGGTCAGAATATTTCAGGGACCCCTCTAAATGAGGCCAGAAGGATGCACAATAAACAATCTCATACTCCGCAGACTTTCCCCTCCTGACTTAAACCACTAATACTGACCCTCCAGGCAACCAGTTCTTGGCTAATCATAATGCAACTGTATCAAAGTGTTCTGCCTAGCAACAAATGATGCAGAAGTCTTCAGTCTTGATTGGTTAACAGTCTGAAGATGGTCCCAATCTCAGGGCAGCTGGAGAGTTATCTATTCTTTGTGAACTTTTTTTTTTCTTTCAGTTGTGTGGAAGACAGCTCCATTCTAAAAAGGCTCATCAACCTCTTTACTGTCTCGTGTGCCCTCCAGAATGGGTGCTGGGAGGGTCCCCTGGGTAGTGGTTCTCCTAGTGAACCTCGTGAGGCCGGATTCCTTCATGTCTGAAGGCAGAGACTCCCCAGGTAAGAACAGAGCAATTTGTTTCTGGGTGTGTTTGCTGGAATTGGTGTGGGGGTTTCTCTCCCCCCCAGATCAAAGTCTTGGAACAGAGTGGCTCTGACTTAAAGAGCAGCACCTTCCCACTGACCAGGAAGCCCTCATGGCCTCCTCACCATCCACAGTGAGCTACCTGGAAAGGACTTCCTGTACCCAGACGCCAGGGGAGGTAGGAAGAAGAAGGAGACATTTTTCCTTGTCGGGTTCCTTAGGCATCAATGTCAGACACTAGAACTGTGAAAGCCTGAGTCGGAGAGCAGCTGAGCCTCCTAAGTAAGAGTTACGTTATAACTCCTGTTATGACTTTCTGTTTATCTAGTGAATTGAAGATAACCTCTCCTGTCACCTGTTAAACCCCATGTTAAGTGGTCGGTATCACACCGAGCAGTTTTGAGGTGTAAGAGAAGTCAGACAAGTTGAACATGTTGATTATTTTTGGCCTTAGGTTACTGTGTGCAATTTATTTTTAAGCCGGGGAGATGGGCTATGCAAACACGAGCATTGTTAGACCATGAAAACGTGGGGTTATGAGCAGAAAACAGGATGTGATATGCTAAGAAAAGATTCCCCTTTAGTGTCAGGTTCTTGTCAAATACAGAAGAGAAACAGCCTTGGGGAGGGAGCATCATTTCTCTCTGAGAACAACAACAACAAAATGCTCTGAGTTCATCATGTCCATTTGATAAATAAAAAAAATCAGCATAGAGGTTTTTTTTGTTTTTGTTTTTGTTTTTTGTTTTTGTTTTTTGCTTGTTTATGTGTTTCTGAGACAGGGTTTCTCTGTGTAGAAGAGGCTGTCCTGGATCTCGCTCTGTAGACCAGGCTGGCCTCAAACTCAGAGAGACCAACTTGCCTCTGTCTCCCAAGTTCTGGGATTAAAGGCGTGCGCTACCACCTCCCAGCCTCAGCATAGATTTTTAAACGATAAAAAATCCACATATTTTTTCTTCTTTAGCTTGTAAGAGGGAATGGAGAAGGGAGAAATGCTGAGGGGCTGGAGGATGGCATGTCATCTGAACTCAGTGAAGGAGACAGAGGGGCCTGGGCATTCTTAGCGGAGGCTGGGCATTCCTGGAGGAGACTGCTGAGCTCAGGAGTGAGCAGACCCACAGCTCGGACACAACAGCCATCATCCTTCAAGTCACAGCTTAGAGTTGTTTCACGGGGCTCTCCTGTGACCTGCCTGCTCTATCATTCTCAAGCGTGCAGAACTGAGTCACAGCACGCCATCATTAAAAGGACTCTTCCTCTTCCTGTCCCTCCTCCTTCCTCTTCCTGTCCCTCCTCCTTCCTCTTCCTGTCCCTCCTCCTTCCTCTTCCTGTCCTCCTCCTTTCTCTCCCCTCTTCTCCATGGATACAATTCCAAGTGTGTCTTCAACATGAGTGTAGTGTTCAGAAACATAAAATGTGCAGCGAGATGGCTCAGTGCTGCCAAACCTGACAGCCTGAGTTCAATCCCCAGGACCCACATGTTGGACAGGAGAGGACTGACTCCTGAAAATTGTTTTCCCTGTAGATTTCACATTTTTAGTAAATGCCATTGAGCATTGCTGACATTTGTGTTTCCATCATGTTGTGGTCAAAAGGCCTCCTCTCAAATCCGCACCCTCTGTGCGGTGTACCAGGCAAGGCTTTCCCGGACCTGCATTGATGTAATGGGCACAGGCTTTCCCGGAGCTGCACTGGTGCACCAGACACAGGCTTTCCCGGAGCTGCACTGGTGCACCAGACACAGGCTTTCCCAGAGCTGCACTGGTGCACCAGACACAGGCTCTCCCGGAGCTGCACTGGTGCACCAGACACAGGCTTTCTCAGAGCTGCACTGGTGCACCAGGCACAGGCTTTCTCGGAGCTGCACTGGTGCACCAGGCACAGGCTTTCTCAGAGCTGCACTGGTGCACCAGACACAGGCTTTCCCAGAGCTGCACTGGTGCACCAGACACAGGCTTTCCCGGAGCTGCATTGATGCACCAGACACAGGCTCTCCCGGAGCTGCAGCTGGCTCCTAATCCTTCTGTGGTTTCCAGAGGACTTTGTGATTCAGGCAAAGGCAGACTGTTACTTCACCAACGGGACAGAGAAGGTGCGCTTCGTGGTCAGGTTCATCTTCAACCTGGAGGAGTACTTACACTTCGACAGTGACCTGGGGATGTTTGTGGCGCTGACTGAGCTGGGGGAGCCTGATGCTGAGCAGTGGAACAAACGCTGGGACCTCCTGGAGCGGAGCAGAGCCTCTGTGAACATGGTCTGCAGGCAGAACTACAGGCTGGGGGCCCCCTTCACCGTGGGGAGAAACGGTGAGTGGAGGTGGGGCCTAGTGGGGGTTCTCCATGAGAACCTGGCCTGTGAGAGGCACGTAAATGTTATATATATAAATTGAACAGCCTACTTAGTAGTTCCAGGCCAGTGAGGGACCCCATGCAGAAACAACCACAGCGACAACAGGTGGATGGCATCTGGGGAATGACACCTGAAGTTGAACACTATATATGTATTTGTGTGTGTGTTCCATGCAAGCCACAGTGCACGCATGGAGGTCGGGACACCTTGAGGCAATTGGCTCTCTCCCCATCCTGTGGTCACAGGGATTGAACTCAGGTCCTCAGGCATGGTGGCTGGCACCCTAACTTGCTGAGCCATCTTGCCAGCTTTCTTGTGACAGGAAATCTGTTCTCCAGGGTAAGAGGGTCACAGGCAAGGGGGGCTGTGACTTTGCTCTGTCCTCAGCTGTGAATTATGGTCCTCACAGCATAGGACATTGTGGTCTTTAATTCTACAACCCCAGAGTTCTCAGGGACTCGGAGGACTGGTGACTCTTTAATACAATGGGTGACTACGGGGGCACCTAGCGGTCTAAATTCTCCTTGTGGGCATCCACACATGCTTCTCAGTCTGGGGGTTGTGGGTGTCCCACACTTCCAGCTTCCGCTGGTGTGGGTAGTGGATCAAGGGTGTCACAGTCCCCACAGAAGCTCCTGCCCTTGTGTGATCTTTCTTCTCTCTCTCTTGTTAGTGCCGCCCGAGGTGACAGTGTATCCAGAGAGGCCCCCGCTGCTGCGGCAACACAACCTGCTGCTCTGTTCTGTGACAGGCTTCTACCCCGGGGACATAAATGTTGGGTGGTTTCGGAATGGACAGGAGGAGAGGTCTGGGGTCATCTCCACTGGCCTTGTGAGGAACGGAGACTGGACCTTTCAGATGACAGTGATGCTGGAAATGACCCCAGAGCTTGGTGACATTTACAGCTGCCTTGTGGAGCACCCCAGCCTCCAGAGCCCCATTTCTGTGGAGTGGGGTGAGCTTTATTTAGTGTTTTTGTATGTCTGGGGCTTGTGCAACTTCTGTGTTCATCTTGATTACAAGACAAGTTCTCCTGATCTGAGAATTTTAGGGTCAGGGTGGGAGAGAACAGGGCAGACATCCATCCTCAGATGTCTGAGAGACAAGGAGGGCTGCTAACCCTGGGACCTAGAGTCCTTTAGCACTGTAGTCTTTAGGGACACTGTCATGGGCTGTAAGTCAGGGACGGGGCTGAAGAAGTGGCTCAGTTGGTAAAGTACTTGTCACACAAGGTGAGGACCTGAGGTTGATCCCCAGGAGCTCTGGTGCCTGCTTCTAGTCCCAGGGCCAGGGAAGTGCAGACAGGCAGACGCTGGAGCTCATGGGCTTCTCAGCCTAGCCTGCTTAGTGAGTTCCAGGCCAGTGAGGGACCCCATGCAGAAACAACCACAGCGACAACAGGTGGATGGCACCTGGGGACTGACACCTGAAGTCGACCTCTGTCCTTTCACAGCGCGCGCGCGTGCGCGCGCGCGCACGCACACACACACACACACACACACACACACACACACACACACACACACACACAATCAGTGACAGATGGGAGGCAACTCCATCTCTAGACAGCTCTTCCCTGAGCAGTACTGGGATGGCGTACAGTATAGGCCTTGGGTGGGGTTTTAAGAAGTTGTGTCCAGCTGAGCAGTGGTGGCACACACCTTAATCCCAGAACTCACGAGGCAGAGGCAGGAGGATCTCTGAGTTTGAGGCCAGCCTGGTCTACAGAGTGAGTACCAGGACAGCAAGGGTTACATAGAGAAACCCTGTCTCAAAATACAAAACAAAACAACAACAAAAGAAGTTTTTTCTGGTATTGGGAGCATTGATGAACATTACATTGACTTTAAATCTTGTTTCCCACAGTGGCTCGGTCTGAATATTCGTGGAAAAAGATACTGAGTGGAGGCGCAGCGTTCCTGCTTGGGCTGATTGTCTTCCTGGTGGGGGTTGTTATCCACCTCAAGGCTCGGAAAGGTAATGCACCTCTGAGGAGAACCTTCCCATCTGCCCTGCGGCTTCTCCACCTCCAGCTTCCTTTACTGTAAAGATGTGAGTGAAGAACCTGGCTGTGCTGAGGCATCATGGTGATGTTCTAAAGCCAGGGGAGTCCAGGAGTAAGCAGAGAGGAGTGTGCTGCCATTGCAGGCCATGCTCCCCCCAGGAAAGTGTCATTTGATCTGACTGGGGATCCCATTCTCTCTTTCCAGCATCTGTGGAGACCCGGTCAGGTGATGAGGTAAGCGCTCCCATTCCTTGTCTTTGGCTGGCAGATCATTGCCTAGTTCTTTGGCCAGAGCGAGCATCATGAAGTGAAGGAGGCAGAGGTGCCTCTGGCTGGGTGGTTGTCTCCCGAGTCTCTGGAACTGGAGGGTGGGAAGCCTTCTGAGACTCTCTCTTTGTTTCTTCAGGTCTCAAGAGCCACCTCATCCCCAGTAAGATCCTAATGGAAGCTTCTCCCACAGAGACTGAAGAAGTGTCAGAAGTCCGGGGCCCTGGGGTGGGTAAAGAACAGTGCTCTAGAGTTGTGCGATGTGGTCATGTATCTTCTCCTATGGTTCCTTCTCCCTCCTGTCTCTACTTCAGTAGTCCCCATTTCCAGAACGGTGCCCAGAAATTCCCTTAGGACCCAATTCATCCCAGCCCCACGTTGTTTTGTTCTCTGTGGTCTGACCCTAACCCTGTGAGTGGGGAACCCCAGTCTTTCTGTCTTCCAGCCATAGTTTCCAGTCTTCCAGTCACTTTAAAAATCCCTTGTATTGTAAAATAAAATAGTCACAGATAACCATAGTGAATGTATAACTTATTTAAGGCAAAACCCTTGTAATCACCAACTCAGCAAGACACAGACATTGGCAGTCTCTGCAGAAGTCACCATGAGCCTTGGCCAGTAAACACCCACAGGCACACACTATACACATGTGGTTATTTAACAGTCTCTTCAGCCAACTGTACATCTCTGAGTACCACACTCCATTGTCTTTCTTGTCTCTTAGACTTCCAGCTGTTTTATTTCATACTTTTTTTTCTGTTAGGATTAAATTTGTGAGAAGCCTGAGCCACTTAAGGTGAAGAGTTTTTCATGCATGGATTTTGTTGCCTGCACACACATGGCCCCATCTAACACATTCTTTTGCCCTTTATGTTTTCTGTAAGTTATCACCTGATGCAGAGGCAGGGATCAGACTCTGGTTTGATTCTTTGGGCATCTATAGGAGGCCATGTCTTTATCTGGAGTCACATTTTATATCTCATTTATCTTTTCATGATGTTACAATAACCATTGATGCTACTTGCCCAGGTCTGCTAATTTATCAGGGATTGCTACATTGTGACAGTCCAATTCTAGGATTCTTTCCTCATTTATTTATTGTGTATTGTTGGCTCTACTCACTGTTACTTGTGCTAGAAGTTCAAAGTCTATGACGGTAAGACTGTGGGTGTCTGCAGTGACTGCAGCCTGCACCAGAGCCGCTGATGTGTTCACTGCTGTGAGCTTCTAAAGCAAAGACCTAGTTTCACTTGATAGTGACCTTAGTGGCACAATGAAATTCACTGGCTTTACTAAGTCTTGACACCAAGTAACAGTCTTTTTAACAATTTGACAAAATTGGAAGTGTTTCTGTTGTATGCAGATGGGAAGGCAGCTGTAAAAACTGCTTGAGTTGTGAGTGGAACAGTACACTCCCTTCAATAAACCACCATTTTGTTTTAAAAGAAAGTATTTTTCGGCCAGGCAGTGGTGGCGCACGCCTTTAATCCCAGCACTCGGGAGGCAGAGCACTCGGGATCTTTGTGAGTTCGAGGCCAGCCTGGGCTACCAAGTGAGTTCCAGGAAAGGCGCAAAGCTACACAGAGAAACCCTGTCTCGAAAAAAAAAGTATTTTTCATTGTTTGAGATTTCATACATGCATATTATTGAACAAATCCATCTCCATTCCCCCCCTCCTCCAATTTCTCCTATTCTCCCAACACATTTACCTCCCAACTTCATAAGCTTTTTTGCTTTACTTCATTGAGTAAACTTAGCTCTGCCTGGATGTACATGGGAGCAGGTCCACCTGCTGGAGTGTGGGTGGCCGATCAGGGGCTGCCTCCTCGAAGACCATGGACTCTCCCTCCCCAGAAGTCATCAACTGCCTGCAGCAGCTCCTCAGCTAAGGGTGAGACTTCACGAGTCCCTCCCATCCATGCTGGGATTTTGGATAGCTTGATCTTGGGCATGTAGACACTTTCTTAATGACTCTTAGCTTGTTTTGAAATAAGTTATAGTTTAGTTGGTGGGAGATTTTTCTGGTGCATTCAAATGGTCTGAACATTTGTTCCACATTGCCAATAAAGAACATCAACTGCTTGAAGTAGATAAAGCCTGAGCCATTTTCTACTGCTTATTTTTAATGTAAAACTGGGGTTGTTTGTTTGGTTTGGTTTTTGTCTTTTGTTTTTTTCCCCCTGCCTTTTCTGAGCACAGCTTGCTGACGTGCCTCCTGTCCTCTGCATGGAGTCCAAGAGACGATGGCTCCCTACTGGGGAAACCCAGCTGCTCCCAGCCCTCACTTTGGCTCTTCCTTCCCACTCCTTCCTGGTTCAGTTTGGATTCTGTTCCCCAGAATTTTCCCTCTTTGGATAATCCTGCCTATAATTTTTTTCCTCTAAAAGTCTTATGATTTTATGTTTTCTGCTTTAGTCTAGAATAATTGTAAGTTTTTAAATATAAAATATAAAGCTTGTGCCTGTAGATTTGTGTGTGTGTGTGTGTGTGTGTGTGTGTGTGTGACAGAATCTCATGAAACTCAGGTTGACCTCAGTATCACTGTATAGCTGAAGTTGGTCTTGAACTCCTGACCCTCCTGTTTCCACCTCTCATGTGTTAGGTTTGCCAGCATGTGCCACCAGGCACAGTTCTTTTACCTACAGGTGTTTAATTCCTTCAGTACTATTTGTTGAAAACTCTACCTTCTCTATAGTGCATCAATTATACTTTGTTTTTTTTCAGGACAGGGTTTCTCTATGTAATAATCCTGGATGTCTTGGAACTTGCTCTTTAGAGCAGGCTGGCATGGAACTCACAGAGATCCTCTTGTCTCTGACTCTGACTAAAGGCGTGCGCCGCCGGGTCTATTCTTGTAGTTTTATTTCCCAAGTGACACTGGAATCAAGCAGATCTACTGAGCTATGGGCTGCCAGAGCTGCACAATATACCTTAATTCTCTGTTCCTAGCTTCAGTCACCACTGTCCAATGGCAACTGCCCTCACTGTCCTCGTCCTAGGGTTTGCACTTTCCCAGGAGTCACCAGCCTCTTCCTTGGTGTCTTGGTTTGTGTCTCATACATCAGACCTTCACTTCATGGCTTCCACTTTCAGGTCTGACATTGGCCTACACCACTGGTGAGGGTGTGTGTGTGTGTGTGTGGTATGGTGTGTGTGTGATTTTTTCCACCATTGCATCTCCTCTAAGAAGGAAATCTGTGTCAAGGAAGACTCATGCTATTTTCCACACCGTGGCTTTGGACACAGTCAATGCCCTTATTTGTCCATAGATGTCCAGGTCTTCATTTCTGTCTCCGTCTTCTTGTTGAGTGGTTGGCAGAAGTTATTACTGACTCCTGTCTTAGGCACTAGAGTCTGTGTGACTGCAGCGGCAGACCTGCCTTCACTTTCTCATTGTGGTATTTACTTCTTATTCCATAGGAGGTTATAATTTTTATCAGTCTCTTCAAAGGATCATCTCTAGCTTAAATTTTTACTTTTTCTACTATTCAGCTTTCCTTTACAATTTTTGCTCTAATTTTTAACAATTCTCTTTATCTCCTTGTGCCTTCCTTGGGTTTAATTTGCTTCTTTTTTTAACCCTCTCCTGGTAAAAGGGCACATTGCTAATTCTAAACATCTCTTCTGTACAAATATGCACATTTATAGGAATTAATTTCCCTCTAAGGACATTTTAACCAAATTCTGATGACTTTGACATGTTGTTCCTCTTTGTTATCAATTCCACTGCACTCCCAGGGTTTATGTTCTGAAGCAGACCAGGAGTGTGGACTGTTAGGGACTGTGTAAGTGGAAGAAATACAATGGTGTTCGACTTAACGCACCTGCATGTCGACATCCTTAACCCCAGCAAACCTTACGGATGCACGATAGAACCTGGAGAAGACACCGGAGGGGTCTGGGGGCAACGGGCAGAAAGAATCATCTTTGCAAAAATAACCTTCCAGCCCGTTGTGGTGGCACACAGCTTTAACCCCAGCACCCGAGAGGCAAAGACAGGTGGATGGATCTCTGTGAATCCGAGGCCAGCCTGGTCTACACAGTGAGTTCAAGGACAGCAGAGCTACATAGTGAGAAACTGTCTCAAACAAACAACAACAAAACAAACAAACAAACAAAAAACAAAACTAACCTTCCGTTCTGACCGGGTTCATTTATGGAAACAAGTCTGCGCCTTCCACACAGCTGCGCTGTATTCCGGGGTTGCTCTGGGGTCTGACCAGGGCAATCTGGGCAGGGAAACCAGAGGAGACGGTCTTGGGAAGCATTAATCTAGGGAGTGAAGTAATGGCGTCAGTGGTGGAAACTCCGAGAATCATGGTTCTAAAGAGAAAAAAGGAAGTGGGGGAAATTAATTATTTCCAGAAACAAGAGTCATAAAATCGACTCCCTCCCCCCAACATTGTTAATGAAACGGCACTGCGCTGCAGAAACACTAGAGGGCGACCTTGAGCTAAGAAACCCGGAAATCCTTCGGAGTTCTTGTCAACTGTTCTGGTTAAGAAGGGAAAATAGAAACAAATAGAATACAAAGCTGTAGATCGATCGCTCAAAGCTTCTTTTGACCAGTACATATCGTCTCCAAGACTGAGGAGAAGAATAGCCACGGTTGCAGCAGCGAGGCCAGAGTGAATCATGCATTCACCGCTCTAAGGAAAATCCAAATTAAGAGTTAGAAATCCAGCAATTAAATGGATTGAAAACAGGAAGACAGAAAATTAAAGTTAACCGAAGTGAGGGGTAAAGAAAATGACAAAACTGTAAATGAAAACTAAGTCACAAACGGGTGATGTACCTAATGTATTAAACACATACTAAAGGGCTTTGAAAAATGACATTAAACAGTCAAGAAATTGACCTTGGAAAAAAATGTGCCTTGATTAGTTTCCAAGGACTGTTCACTCTGTCGTGGTCACAAGCCTGACAGGGGAGGCCAGCTCTCCAGCACAGGGCAGCAGCCTGGCCCGTCTCATCCTTTTAGTCCTGGGCCGGCTTGTCTCTGCTCTGGGGATTTCCAGTTCTCTCCCTAAGCCGGCATGGTGTCTGCAGATGGGCGTTTCATCAGTTTCCTTCCTATCCCTGGGAGTTTAGAAGCCTCTTGTTGTCTCTTTTTCTTAGTTACTGTGTTTCTTCAGAAATACTGTGTTCCTTTGTTTTTGTTTTTACTGTTGGGAATTGTCTTAGACTTACTATTGCTGTGATGAAACACCATGACCAAAGAGTCTGGGGAGGAAAGGGTTTATTTAGCTTCT